AAAAAAAAAAAAACAAATAAACAAAGAAAAAAAAATATAAAAAGAAAATATGTTCCGACGTACATTCTGGCGCTACTCCCCTGACTGTCGGGAGAACATCATTCGTATCTTTACAGAGATGGCAGATCTCAACAATGCCCTTGGTGAGAAGTACAAGGTGCAGAGCTATAACCGTGCTGTGCAGAGTCTAAAGACCAACCTTGATCTCCCACTCGGCACCGTGCAGGATCTTGAGAAGTTCCCTGGATTTGGCGCCAAACTATTAAAGAAGGCAGAGGAGATCATCACTACCGGTAAACTGGAGGAACTGGAAAAGAAAACAAAACCAAAGCTGAAGGCTATTCAGGAACTCACACAAGTGCACGGCTTTGGACCACGCGCCGCCGCCGCTCTCTTTGACCGCGAGGGTATTTTTACAGTGGAGGAACTCATGGAAAAGGCGGATCGTATTCAACTCACCGACCAACAACGCGTTGGGGTTCGTTACTTTCATGATATTAATGAAAAGATCCCCATGCATGAATCCGTCCTGCATGAGAACTTCCTCCGCGACTCTGTAAAGGAACGATTGGGGGATGTGTATGAAATTCAAATCTGTGGAAGTTATCGCCGCCGCCATCCATTCAGTGGAGATGTGGATGCCATTCTCGCCCGCCGCCTCACCGCACCGCCGCTGCCGGGGCCCGTCACCGCCACAGGTGTGTTGGGGACCTTTGTCGAACACCTACAACAACTCAAATACCTCGAGGCCACAATGGCACAAGGGCCATTAAAGTATATGGGAATGGGAAGACTTCCACCACGCACCACAAATGGGACAACGAAACAGTATAAAGCCAGACGTGTGGATATTCGTCTCATTGAGGCGAAATCGGTTCCCACCGCACTTCTTACATTTACAGGGAGTAAAAATTTTAACGTTATTATGCGCCAGGCGGCTATCAGTAAGGGATACTTATTAAATGAGTATGGTCTCTTCAAGCTTGGCAGTCCAGAGGAGGTGAAGGCGCTGCAGGAACGCGTGCGGGCCAGCAAGACGGCCGGTGGGAAATCAGCCGCCGCTGCGGATGCCGCTGCGGAGACCCCAGAGGAAGGCGCAGATGGATTTATCTCATCTATTAGTGGTCACTCGGCCAAGATGGAGATGTTGGGACTCACAAAGGAGGAATTGGAGGTGAAGCGGGTACATGTGACGTGTGAGAAGGATGTCTTTGATGTGTTGGGTATGCCGTTTGCGAAACCGGAGAACCGTGACCCGTAAGAAAAAGAGAAAAAGAAGAAGAGCAGTGTAAATGATGTTCATTTCTTCCACAGAGAAGCGGTTAATGTTGCTACCGTGTCTCGGAGCAAAAAAATACATTATATATATATATATATATATATATAAACATATAGAGTGATAGTGAGAGAAAGAAAGAAAGACGAAGAAAAAAAAAAGAAAGAAAGAATCATAAGGAAGGAATAGAAACGTGAAACTTGCATCAACAGCTGCAGAGAAGAAAAGAAAAGAAAAATGTAATGCAGGAAAATGGCAGGTGCACGAAAAAACAAATATGAAAACAACAAAAAACGAAAACAAAAGTAAAAGGAAGTAAAAACGAAAAAGAAAGAAAGAAGGAAAGAATCCACGACAAAAGGAAAGAGAAGGGGAAAGGCATATTGAGACGAAATAAAAGGATAAAACAATAAATAAAAAATAAAACCAAAAAAAAGTTGTACCATCCCAAGAATGCCAAGTAATATATATATATATGAAAAGGAAGGGATAAAGTAAACATAGGAGTTGGGAATCCGAGTATTCTGATAACGTACACATTTCATAGAGCGAAAGTGAGTGGAAAAATAAATAATAACAAAGGCGAATAAAATGGAGGGGATTGACGGTAAAAGGGATCAACCGCAGCGGAAATACTGATAAGTATATAATAGTAGGAGAATAAAATAAGAACAAATAGTGGAAACAGAATGAAAGATAGAGAGAGATGATATTTTTTTCCATTTTCTTTTTTTTCCCACTAGCGCCAATTTTCTACTCTGAAATGTTGGAAAAAGAAAAAAAGAAAAAGAGAACAACGTTAATACTATCATCCCTTTCATGTATCTTCAGTGAGAAGAATATATATATATATATATATATGAAATCACTGTAATATATGCTTTCATTCGCCCGTTTCATTCCCTCACTTTTGTTTGTTTATTTTGAACCATTTTTTTTTTTTTTTACATAAATTAAAAAAAAAAAATCGTTCTTTTTTCTTTCTCACTTGACGCACTCTTTTATTATTATTATTATTATTATTATTATTATTATTATTATTATTATTTATTGTTCCTTTTTTGTTTTTTTCGAGTTTCAATTACCTATTTCCCCGTTGCGTCTACCGAACGAATGGAGTAAACTCCTTCCCTGCTCTAACCAAAATCCACATAGATCCCCCCAATGTGTTGTTTGCTGGTGATGCTATAGATGAGTTGAGAGGAAAAAAATCAAAAAAAGAAAAGAAAAAGAAGAAAAAAAAGGACCTCGTCGCGCATATGAGTATCAGCAATAATATGCGGCAGTTGTTGATCCCGTATTCACACGCCACATGCCTTCACTATTAAGTTCTCATCTTGTTATTTATTTATTTATTTATTTATTTATTTATTTATTTAAACACTTACACGGTTATAATAATAATAATTAGTTGTTTTTTTTCTCCTTGGCTGGCAAGACTGCGGCAATAATTCTGTAAACTTTTTCTCTGTTTTCTTTTCTTGTTTTTCACAATTCACACCCCCCAAAAAAAGATGTTAACAAGACAGTAGAGAGGAGCACAAAAAAAAAAAAAAAAAAAAAATAATAATAATAGGAGTTTTTTTGCAAAGAAAGTACGCTGGTTCTTACCACCTCTAGTAGTACTAATCCCTTCTTTTTATATATATATATTTACCTCGTTAGAGGAGACCCCTATTTCCAAGATTGAAAAAAGAAAAGCAAAAGGAAAGGTGAGGTGAAATATTATTTCCTTTTTCTTCCTTTTAAAAAAAAAGAAAAGGGAGTAGTCGAACAAGAAAAAGAAAAAAAAAAACATAAAAAATTAAAGATAATTACATACTTACATACACAAGAAGAAGAGAAATACCAAACAAGGAAAACAAATAAAAAATAAAATAAATAAATTATGAGCTCAGAAGTGGTGTCTATTCGATACTTGGATGAATCCCGAGGTCGTGGGCTTATAGCGGAAGTGGACTTTTCACCGGGAGACAAAATAATTTGCTTTCCTTGCGATATCGCCGTATTATATACCCCGTTTGTTCGTAATACTTGCTCTCGTTGCTTTGAACCATCTCCAGAAGAAGAAGAAGAAAAAGAAAAAGAGAAAAATGAAGAGAATAAAGATAAGAAAAGTCTTCGATATGAATGTGCCTCTTGTAAACATCTCGTATTGTGTTCGGATTGTGTAAAGGAATTGGTTTCACAGGTTCAAGAATTATCATCTTGTGATGTTTCTAATAATAATAATAATAATAATAATAATAATAATAATAATAATAATAATAATAATAATAATAATAATAATAATAATAATAATCCTCTCTCACCATCTCAAGCACATGCGTTGATTAAACAACAACATCGTCTTCTTCAAGCACATCGTATTGCGTGTGAATGGTTTTGTGAACTTCCCGAATCCGCAAGGGAAGGTGATACAGATTATTTGCGTTTTGCACTAGAAGTGGCCTCGCGTACACATCTAGCTGACACTCGACTTAAAGTAGCCCTTGAAAATCTTTGTATAAATGCTGGAGAACATTCGAAAGAGATCCGTCAGTTCTTTGATTCCTTTGCAAGTAGAGTGGTAAGTAAGTTTAAGCCACTGGGATTCGATATGGAGGTGGGTTATCTTTCTGATCTCTTCATGCGGACAAAATTCAATAGTATTGGGTTTCCTTTTAATGAAGAGGAGATACTTGGTTGGGCTTTACAGGAAGAGTTGTGTATGATTAATCACAGCTGTATTCCTAATTCTGCGATTGTACGGTCAAACCGAGAAGAAACAACAAATAAAGAAACAAAATCAACAGTAAAAAGATCTAGAGACTGTTGTATGGAACTTGTGGCACGCCTCCCTATTAAAGCAGGGGAAGAAATTACAATGTCTTATATTGATGTTGATGCTTACGCAGGTAATGCGAAGGCACGATCTCAGCATCTGCTGGAAAACTATGGGTTTCTGTGTAAATGTGAGTTGTGCTTACCTAGCACTGCCAATAAGAAATGAATACGAAGTAAATTATTCAAAAAAAAAAAAAAAAAGCAATATCAATAACAGCAAAAA